TATTAATAGTTTCGGGGCACTTAATATAAATAATAAAGGTCTCTAATAATGATTAGAAGGCCTCTACAATCTATCTATACTTACGAATAAAAGAAATATGTATTTTTAGTCTGTTTTTTTATTTTATAGAAAACCCCCTAATGTTACTAATATTAAACCCGTAGTACATATCAAATGTTTTCTAAAATACTCATATCTTCTAAACCGTAACTTCAAATTTAACATGTTATATATGAAATTTCATTAGAAAAAAATGTAGAATCTGAATATGATGTTGGAATTTGATTAGAAAAATATGTAGAATCTGAATATGATGCTATTTTATCTGTTAACAATTTTTAAAAAAAATACTATCTAGGCTGCAATGTTAATCAAGAATGCATTATCCATCTTTCTGATTAAGATTATGGATGAACACCTCAGCAAAATCAACAATTTAAGCTAGAGACACCCAATAAATAAGGACACACATGAAAAAATAATAAAAAGAAGGTCCCAATAAAGATGGGATGTCCGCTATAAAAGAAATAAAAGAGAAAATGTTTGAGGAAATTCGATAAAGATGAGATGTTGCGCTATTCTCCTATATATAAGAAGAAAAAAGAGAGGACATGCATGAAAAAAAAGGCATGCATGACAAAAAATAAAATAAAAGACAAGTTTGATAAGATATAAATAGTGATGAAACAGGGACCAATACTTATGACATGTATGGCAAGAAATAGTGATGAAGTAAGGGCGCAAGTTCCTGCATCCACAGGAGACCATACAAAAGTGTTCTTTTCCAGACAAAAAAAATATTTTTATGATTAAAAAATTATGTATCTTTTTAACAACCCTTTTAACAACTCATCATGTGAAAAAAAGTGTTCAAGACTTACCCTAAGTTGGTGATTAAACTGAAAACTGTCATTGATGCACATAAGTCTCTGTAGTGTGCTAATGTGTCATCGTTTGTTTTTGTCGTTTTTCTTTACTCGCCCGTAACAACACCCCATTCCGAACATGACATGAATAAATGCATGAACATTTGCCCGTTTCTTTGTATAGATTAAATCTACATGCAAGCCGTGTTGAAATAGAACACCTATAGAATCTTAAACTGCACTTTTTATAGGTCAAGATCATCTTTGTTTGGACCGTAACTACAAATTCTCAGATTATAGACCATTTTTTTTGTAAATTAAGAGTGTGTGGTGTTTTTTTTCTCCCATTGCAATGCACGAGCCTTTTTGCTAGTTTATTTAAAGTTATTTGGCTGATATCTTAAAAAGGGCCAATAAGGAAAGGTTAATGGGCCATATTGGGCCCATTGGTGGAGGCGCTCCACTCAGGGCTTTTTGGAAAAGGCAAAGGGGGAACTGGGAGTCAGAGGAGGACTCCTCCTTGGCAGTCGCCCCAAGGGAGGGGAGCCCCCTCCCCAATTCAGTCTCCCCCTCTCCCATCTATATATATGAGAGAGGGGGCGACCCCTAGATATCAAGTCCTCGATTCCGGGCGCCCCTCCTCTCTAGTTCATCTAGTTCTTAGATCTAGATTGATTATCTCTAGTTCCTCATAATAGCGAAACTCTACGTGGTTCTTTTCTTCTCTCTCTAATTATCAGGTAACGTCTAGCTTTGGAAGAGGAAGCGCTACTGGATCGTGAAGACCATATGCGCGCAATCCGTAGAGGGCTCACACTTTTGGTCTACGATTTGAGGGATCGTTTGTGAACAGTTCGAGGGACTTCATCGACGATCTACACCTACTCTCCTTCCGCATCAACTCGTAGTTGACAATGATCCGACATAAACCTTGTATGCATCTTCATAGTGTTCTTGATTGATCTTAGGACGATTTTTTTTTGTTTTCTACTTTGTCTCCCAACACGTGGCAGCCGCAACGCGTTGCTCCTCGAGGTCGCAGTCTCTCGACCAGCGGTTCGGCCCGACGCTTGGAGCCCTTGCGGCCCAGCCTCCGCCAAATTTGATGAAGTTCAGACATTCGAAGAGCTCATGGCAAAAAAGACAAATTTTGAATGTTTGAGAAATATTTGAGAAAAACACTGTTCAAGGAGCCCATGCTTTGAGTGCTCCCAAGGATAGAAAATGCATTGGAAAGGCACAATCCACTATCTCCCTCTTTTTTAATTCCTCCACCTCTAATGAGCTAAGTGCATGTACAAAATGAGGAGGAGACCATGTGTTGAATGTTATTGGGCTTGATTCCCGGCCGTGTGACGCGAGAGAAATTTTGTTTCTACTTTAAAGTGCATTAGGAAGCTAGACGTACACTTTTTATAGACAAATTTAACGCTAAACTTACACTTGTCTGAGGACGGATGGAGTAGGTAAGTTTATTTACGGGGCTATGCATGCAGACGTTTCTAACATGACATGATACATACTAGAGTCCAGGAGCACGTCGCGAGCTTTATGAACACCACATGCAAAAATATCTACCGTGTTATATGAGACTAATAAACCAGGACGAAGCTAGCAGCACAGTGCTACAAGAAAGCTAACTGCGAACATGACTACTCCCTCCGTTTCTAAATATAATTTTTTTTAGAGATTTCACTATGGACTACATACGAAGCAAAATGAATGAATCTACACTCTTAAATATGTCTATATACATCCGTATGTAGTTTGTAGTAGGATCTCTATAAAGACTTATATTTAGGAACGGAGGGAGTAGTTGACAAGCTACATGCATAAAGGAAACTGGGTAGACACCATGGATGCTGCAAAGGGGGCTTTTTCCGAGATGCTGCAACAAATATACTGCAAAGTGGTGGTCGCCGAAACAGCTGCAACACAGGCGCCATGCTGCAATGGGGCAAAGTTAATATTTTTTTCATTAGAGGAGTTTGGCGAGCTCACGCGGTGTTGCCGTGGAAGTGCTGCATTGGTGGCGTCACCGTCGCTGCCGTTGACAACATCACCTCTGAGATGAGCTTGGCAGCAACCGGATGGTATGCACCAGCTACGTACTCTTTGCTGAGAGGCCGATCCCCACCTCCTTCCGGAGTTGTCGACGTTGCACGTACGCGTGGTAACGGGCAAGTCTCCAACTCGTTTCCGTTAAGTGAACTGGAAAAGTTTCTTTCTTGAAGGCCAAGTTATAAGAGGCAGGATTCGGACCCAAATAAATCTGATCGTTCCCAAACTACTATAAGTACAAGACCCGGCACCAAGGCGCTGGACCCAAAACCCACGGAGAAACTCTCGAGGCCAAAGAAACCCTAGCGATCCTCCTCTCGAGACCCGATCGATCGACGTCCCAACCGAGAGCTAGCGGCGGCCAGCATCACATGGAGTCGGCGATGACGACGTGGACGGCCGTGGCGTCGTCGGTGGCGGACCAGGGGCGGAAGCTGGCGGCGGCGGCTGGGCCGACCTGCTCGACCGTGGCGGAGAAGGGGCGCCAGGTGTGCTCGACCGCGGCGGAGACGGGGCGCCAAGCGTGCTCGTGCGCGGCGGAGGTGGGACGCCAGGCGGGGACGGTGGCCTGGAAGCTGACGCGGAGCACGGGGAAGGCGGCGTGGATCGCAGGGACGAGCTTCCTGGTGCTGGTGGCGCCGCTCATGATCCTGACGGACCGTGAGGCCGCGTTCAACGAGATGTATAACGCGCGGACAGAGTACCAGACCCTCTTGGGCCCTCCTTCCTGGTAGTTGTCGCCGCCCGACGCCGTCATCAAGTAGTGCTAGCAGTGTTAGGGGTTTTCAATCTAGCTAGATTTTTTGCTTGTTTGATTTACTTGTCCTGGGGTAGCAAAAGTAGTAGCAGTAGTAGTGGTGGTGGTTTTGGATCGAGACTACTCTTGTAGATTTTGCTCAACTTCGATCAAATATCGGCATTATGTTCCGGAAACAAGCAGCAATTGGTTCAGTTATGCATGCAAATCGTCAATTCTTCTTCCTCGTCCCTAACATTGCCAACTGCTGGAAACATTATGTCTTGGGCACAGCCGTTGATTAGCAATTCCGATAATGAGTGGTGATTGTGGTGGACTCCTGAATTAATTACAAGTACTCACCCATGGTTGTTGACTATCAAACCTATATTTGCAATGCTCAAATGATGATTATGAATATGTGGCAACTAAAGAAGCACGTACTCTAGCGTGGCACGATTTTGAATCGAGACAGCTCTTTGATTTTGGTAGAGGATTCGCTTCTCGATTTGGATAAAATATCGGTAGTGTTTTCCGAAAACAAGCAAGCAATTGGTTCAGTTTTGCAAATCATCAGTTTTTCTTCCTCTTCCATAACATTGATTACACAACTGCTGGAAACATTATCTCTTGGGCACGGCCGTTGATTAGCAATTCCGATAATGAGTATTGTGATTGTGGTGGACTCCTGAATTAATTACAAGTACTCACCATGACTGTCGCAACGCTCAAATGAATATGTGGCAACTAAAGAAGGCCAGTACTAGGCGCCGGCGCACCAGCCGAAACTTTCGGCCGGTCCAGCCCCAGTCGTTCGATTCACGTAATAATAACCGTCCAGATTGCATCTCCTCCCTTGCGCGTGGGTCAAAGCCTCCTCCATCCTCACGTACAGGCTCGTTGCCGTCGGTAGCTTGCTCGCCGGAGCCGCTCGTCGGCGCGCTCGTCAGAGCCGCTCGCTGGAGCTCTTCGTCGGCGCGCTCGTCGGAGCCGCTCGCCGGACCTGCTCGTCGGCTTCCTCACCGGAGCTGCTCGTCAGCCTGCTCGTCGGCTTCCTTGCCGGAGCTGCTCGTCGGCCTGCTCATCGGCTTCCTCGCCGGAGCTGCTCGTCGGCTTGCTCGCCGGAGCCGCCGCTCGCCTGCATGCTTGTCGGCGCGCTCGCCTGCATGCTCGTCGGAGCTGCTCGCCGGTGCGCCATGTGCGATCGAACTTCGCCATGGCCGTTGCAGCAAATCACGTCGCCGGACGCAGCTTTTTTTGTGGCCGGTTGTAGCAAAAATCACGAAGCCATGTGCGATGTAGCAAAATGCGACACCGGTAGTAGCAAAATACGATGCCGGTTGTAGCATATTGTGATGCCAGTTGAAGCATCTAGCAAAAAAGATGTTGGTTTCAGCATCCTTGTGACAACAGTGGTCACATGTAGCAAAAAACATGATGGCCATGCGATGTAGCAAAAAGCGACGTTAGATGTAACTGTGTGGGACGCCGGTTGTAACAATTTGTGACAATGGTGGTAACATGCAGAAAAAACACGGTGCCGTATGATGTAGCAAATCGTGAAGCCGGTTGTAGCTGCGTGGGAAGCAGCTTGTAGCAATTTGAGACAACGGTTGTAGCATTAGGGAAACTACGATGTGGGTTGAAGGTAGAAGAAGGGGAAGAGATAAGATAGAAAAGAGAGCCAGATGCGTAGGACCTGCCATGTGCGGGAGCAGTTCTGCATGCAACAGTTTTGCGGAGAGCCAGGTGCGTAGGACCCGCCATGTGCGAGAGCAGTTTTGCATGCGGCTGCGCGTGCGGGTCGTGCTGCATGTGCGGGGGTTTGGGTGTGAGCGCGAGCGGCCGGCCGAAAGTTCGGCCGGCGCGCCCGGCGCGCCGTTTTGAAACATTTCCCACTAAAGAAGCATGTACTCTAGCGTGGCACGATTTTTGTAAGTTATGTTGCTTGTGTGTGTGTCAGGAGAGCAGTTTTCCTGTTGTTGCCCGGCGCTCATCATCTGCCTTCAATACATGGTGCATCTTCAGCTCAGCACTGCACGTTTCTACACCTGCATATACATGTTGCAGAATTACTGTGCATTTCGTTCTTTACTTACTCAATTTTGTCTGTGATTCATGATGTGCAAGAGAGTACCTTAAACGTCATACATCTTTTGTGCTAATTTCTTACCTTTCCTGACCAGCACGACTTGGCCACCTATATCTTGTCACTTCTCATGTCCTCTTTTTTCAAACCGCATGGAAAAACTGCATGTGTATTGATTAAGAGCATCTTCGATAGACGCGCAACGCGCGGCGCTAAAAAAACGTTTACAATGCTGGAATAGCCAGTTTTTGCGTGCCACAGAGCGCTGGCTCCTGCGGCGGCTGCAAAAAATTGTGCGCGCGCCGCTCCAACAGACGCGCTATATTTTTTACTACTCGTGGTCTTCTCCTTCGACTGCTCGATACACATTCTACTCTGACTCGATACTTCTAGATAGGCATACATAGATAATTAAAAGGGTCTGTCTAGAACACATCTAGATGTCACATAGTTATGACGTCACATTTAAGCTGATGTCCACTATGTTTGTGGTCTATTTTTTTCTATTTTTTCTATTTTTTGTTGCTGCATTATATATTTGTGGGAGCTTACATGTGACATCCTTAAAAAACATCTAGATGTGAATTAGTCAAACTGAATTAAAAAACTGTACATAGATAGTTCATAGCATAGATCGATAAAAAAAAGATAGTTCAACTACTCGTCCTATTCCTCCTCCTCCTCCGACTTGGTGATGTCCTCCTCCTCCTCCGATGTGGTAATGAAGGCGTCAAGATACCGATCGTCGTTGAAGTCCCACGTCGACACTTCTCCTAGTTCGATGTTGAAGAGCGCGTCCGCCTCCCACGTATGCCTGTCCTCGCGATAGGCGGCTCGCTCCGCCCTCCTCTCCTCCCTCTCCGTCCTCCTTTACGCGTAGAACTCGCGCTCGTTGACGATGTCCTGCGTGAAGCGTTGGCGCCATAGCGCCATGGCTTCCTCGTTCATCTCGTCGATGCCGAGACGACGCTCCCGCCTCCGGTTGTTGCGACTGTCCTCGTCGGTGATAAGCCGCGGGGAGGCGCGAGCTCCTGTGCCCGCTCCCATGTCAGCACGTCGGGGAAGTTCATCTCCCTACGAGGCCGCCGGAGGCGGCACGCTGCCGCGTCGTATGCGCGGGCAACCTCGTGGGCGGTGTCGAATGTGCCCAGGCCGAGGCGCGTCTCACCGGACTGGATATCGGTGGAGAAGGAAATAGAGGGGCGTGCGCGGACGCCGGGGTAGCTCGAACTTCCCCGGCGGCGCGGCGGCATGGTTGCGCCATGAGGCGAGAAAAGAGCCGAGGGCACGTGGCAAGGCGAGGGCGCGTGGGAGCGATGGAAGGACGGGTGGAGGAGGCGCTCGATTCATAGTGCGCGCCGGACGTCGTGCGTCAAAACTAGTGCGCGCCGGGCCGCCTTTTCGCACGAACGCAAACTTTTCCCGCGCATCGGAATCTCCCGCGCCCGCTGGAGCGCGTGCAACTGCTCCATGCGCGCTAAACCGAACGTTTCCCTTGCGCACGTTTTTTACCACCGCTGTTGGAGATGCTCTAAGAAAGGAGAACGACGGTAGTAAATAAGATGATCCCTCATTAAAATTTCAAGAAAGTGTTCCCCCTAACTGTGCACCGTTGCGAAAGTTCGTCGTTTCGAAGCACCACGTGATGATCGGGTGTGATTAATTCTTATGTTCACATACAACGGGTGTAATCCAGATTTACACACACGAAATACTTAGGTTAACTTGACGAGCCTAGCATGTACAGACATGGCCTCGAAACACAAGAGACTGAAAGGTCGAGCATGAGTCGTATGGAGGATAGGATGAACATGAAGATGTTCACCGATGATTACTAGTCCGTCTCACGTGATGATCGGACATGGCCTAGTTGACTCAGATCATGTAATCACTTAGATGACTAGAGGGATGTCTATCTGAGTGGGAGTTCATTAGATGAACTTAATTATCCCGAAAATAGTCAAAAGCCCTTTGCAAATCATGTCATAGCTCGCGCTATAGTTCTACTATTTTAGATATGTTCCTAGAGAAAATATAGTTAAAAGTTGATAGTAGCGATTATGCGGACAGAAGAAAGCTTATGTCCTGAATGCATCGCTCAGTGTGCTGAACCCCAAACGTCGTCTGTGGATGTTGCGAATATCGGACATACACGTTTTGATAACTACGTGATAGTTCAGTTAAACGTCAAGAGGTATAAGACCTCCGACGATTTTCTTAGCCTGTAAACTAAGGGAGAAAAGCTCAATCGTTGAGCTTGTGCTCAGATTGTCTGACTGCAACAATCACTTGAATCGAGTGGGAGTTGATCTTCCAGAGATAGTGATGTTTCTCCAAAGTCATTGCCACCGAGCTGCTTGAGCTTCGTGATGAACTATAACAAATCAGGGATTAATTTTGAATCACTTGAGATATTCGCGATGTTTGACACCGCGGAAATAGGAATCAAGAAGGAGCATCAATTGTTGATGGTTGATGAAACCACTAGTTTCAAGAAGGGCCAGGGCAAGAAGGGATACTTCATGAAACAGCAAATCAGCTGCTGCTCTAGTGAAGAAACCCAAGGTTAAACCCAAACCCGAGACTAAGTGCTTCTGCAATGAGGGACGGACACTGAAGCACAACTACCCTAGATACTTGGTAGATGAGAAGGCTGGCAAGGTCGATAGAAGTATATTGAATATACATTATGTTAATGTGTACTTTACTAGTACTCCTAGTAGCACTAGGGTATTAGATACCGGTTCGGTTGCTTAGTGTTAGTAACGCGAAATAAAGGCTACGGAATAAACGGAGACTAGCTAAAGGTGAGCTGACGATATGTGTTGGAAGTGTTTCCAAGTTTGATGTGATCAAACATCGCACGCTCACTCTACCATCAAGATTAGTATTAAACCAGAATAATTGTC